TTTATTTATTATAAATAATCCGAGAGTTTTGTTTTCCCCCCCCCCCTTCCCATTTCACTAGTCCCTCAACATGACTGTTTGATTGTTAGGCCTGTTTTCCTCTCTCTCTCCAGTCTTTCTGTCTGTCTATCTCACCTCTCTCTCCCTCCAGTATTTCTGTCTGTCTATCTCACCTCTCTCTCCCTCCAATATTTCTGTCTGTCTATCTCACCTCTCTCTCTCCCACCTTTTTTCCTGGTTTGGAATGCTTGGTTTTGCGTCCTTCCATATTCTTGTCTTTAAGAATAAACCAACCCACAAATTGGACATGTTGAAACCGCGACGGGTGGAGGGTCACCGCTTGATTGTGAACGGTAGAGGAGGTGTGGAGGGTTTTTTTGGTTTTGTTTTTGGTTGCCTCGTGACACTTGTCAGTGCGTTTTTAGCATATTATTCTTTTTCCCCTCCTCCTCCTCCCCTCTCCTTTCCTCTCCTCTTCTCTCCTCTTCCTCTCTCCTCTCCTCCTCTTCCGTCGTCTCCTCTTCCTCTCACTCCTCTCCTCTCCTCCTTTTCCGTCCTCCTCCTCCTCCTCTCCTCCTTTTCCGTCCTCTCCTCCTCCTCCTTCTCTCCTCTTCCTCTTCCTCTCCTCCCCTCTCTCCTCCTCCTCCCCCCTCCTCCCCCTCCCCTCCCCGTGTATTGTGTGGGTGTAGGTCACCATGTGAGGAAATGAGGAAAGCTTTTTGTGTGGCTGGGTCTGTGACATACCTTTTGAGATTTGCACCGGCGTTCTTATTTGTTTGCTCGCTTGTGTGAGTGTGTGTATGTGAGTGTGTATGTGTGTATGTATGTGTGTGTGTGTATGTTTGTGTAGGCCATGCTTGTTTGGGTGTGAGATATATATATATATACATATATATAACTGATTTTGATATTTCCATTGGCATTATGTGTATGTGTGTGTGAGAGAGAGAGAGAGAGAGAGATATTTTGTGACCCATCTATAAATCGTGTATGATGTTCGAAATTGTGAGAGAAATGTCTCACCACATTGTAATGTACATGGATAAATTTCCCCTTTTTTTTTCTTTTTTTTTGTAAGTTTGATTTCTGTAACACTCTAGTGTTTGTGGTTTATTTAAAGTAGTTTTTACTGTGAAAACCTGAAGTTTTGATGTGTGTACTAGGAAAGTGATTTCGATATCTCTACTGATTTTTCGGTTTTTATCCAAGTTTTTGATGACTTCTCCTACCAATCATGTGTGTGTTTGGTTTTTTTAAGTACCTTGTAGTTTATACAGTAGAACTCTGTATTTGAGATGTGTTTCTAGGAAATTTCTTTTAGATATCTCCCCTGTAAATAATAATGATAGTTGTAAAGCGCATAGAGCATGGACAATATACGCGATATGATTACTATTATTGTTAACGATGTGACTACTATTATTTTTCTAACTATTCTGTTGTGTTGTGTGTTTTTTTCTCTTAGTTTTAGTGAGTTGATTTCTCTGCTGTCAATAATAATGATAGTTGTAAAGCGCATAGACCATTGGAGGATATGCGCGATATGATTACTATTATTGTTACGATGTAATTACTATTATTTTTCTGACTGTTCTGTTGTGTTGTGTTTTTTTCTCTTAGTTTTAGTGAGTTGATTTCTCTGCTGTCAATAATAATGATAGTTGTAAAGCGCATGGAGAATGCTGTGAAGCGTGGACATGCACTCTATAAGTACTATTATTGTTAGAACTGTTCTGTTGTGTTTGTTTCCCTCTTTAGCTGTAGTGAGTTGACTGGACTGGACTGTTCGGCTTATCTGTGACTATAATATTGTTATCTTATCGTCATCATATCCCGAGGGGAGATTTGTGTGTGCCACTCACTCTCACACACACAGCAGTTGTTGGTTGGTTGTCTTAGAGCTGTGTTGAAAGTGTGACCTGAGTGGGAGGGATTTTTCAATCAAGAATCTCTGTCTCTCTGCTGGGAGGTTGTTGTATCCCTCTCTCAGCCCCCCCAGGATTGGCCTTGACAGGCGGGGGTCAAAGGTGAAAAGGCCTCCTAAATGTTTAAAATGTGCCGATGGGGGTGTAGAAACACTTGTTACATTTTTTTTTTAATGATGTGTCAATGGAGAGATTCCAAGTTGTGTCCTGTTTTGTCTTGTCGTGTCACTTGTGAAGGCTGGTGAGACAGTCTGTTGGCTTACTTTACTTGTCCGATGCAGCGGCCGTCTGGGTACTAGCCCTTCGGCCTGCGTGTTGGCAAATGTACTCCCATGACCTTTTGCAGTTGCGAGTGCCGCAAAAAAACAACCTTTTACTTGTCAAAGGCCCTTGTTGACCATCTCAGTGTGGTGTTTTTGGTCTAGGTTTGAGTCCCTATTGAGGTTTTAGGTGGTCTACTGGTTAGGCTCTTGACTTTCCTAGTCTTATTGTGTGTTTGTTTTAAGTTCGAATCCCTGCCGAAAATTACTGTATGTCTCCTCCTTTCTCATGCCATTCTATTGGAAGATATTTTCTTTCAAGCGCTGAGATTATTTTTTTTTTTTTAAAGTAGGGAGAGACTTTGTGCTGTTGAGGCAAGAGAGGTGAGCAGGGTAAGCCTGATTCCCTCGTTTGAACTTCTCTTTTGACATCCACCCCTTGGCGCTCATGTGATCTTATGCATTTGCAAGTGCCGTAAAACCTTACCAAAACATAAGTAGGGAGATTTTTGTGGTGCTGTGTGTATTTCTTCAGAACATCCTTGGGAGATTTTAGCTCTACACCCTCCGAGAAAAAAAGAAATTTAACTAAAAACTTTCCTGCATCCCTCAGTGTGTGATTTTAAAATATTTTTTTTTTACATCATGCTGGGAGGTCTGTTGCATGTCATGTGACTTTGCGACAGCCGCAATAAACGAAAACAGTTCTTTATCAAGCTTTGCAGGCGAGGTTTCTCCAATCTTTCCTTTTTTTTTTTGTTGGTCTTGTCCTTCCATGGTTCAGACATGGCTCCTAAAAACGTTTCTCTACCCCCC